CTCTCCTGCTGATGTTCAGGTGTATATCAGTATGTAGTGTCTCTACTTTAAAGAGTCCTCTCCTGCTGATGATCAGGTGTATATCAGTATGTAGTGTCTCTACTTTAAAGAGTCCTCTCCTGCTGATGATCAGGTGTATATCAGTATGTAGTGTCTCTACTTTAAAGAGTCCTCTCCTGCTGATGTTCAGGTGTATATCAGTATGTAGTGTCTCTACTTTAAAGAGTCCTCTCCTGCTGATGTTCAGGTGTATATCAGTATGTAGTGTCTCTACTTTAAAGAGTCCTCTCCTGCTGATGTTCAGGTGTATATCAGTATGTAGTCTCTACTTTAAAGAGTCCTCTCCTGCTGATGTGCAGGTGTATATCAGTATGTAGTGTCTCTACTTTAAAGAGTCCTCTCCTGCTGATGTTCAGGTGTATATCAGTATGTAGTGTCTATACTTTAAAGAGTCCTCTCCTGCTGATGTTCAGGTGTATATCAGTATGCAGTGTCTCTACTTTAAAGAGTCCTCTCCTGCTGATGTTCAGGTGGATATCAGTATGTAGTGTCTCTACTTTAAAGAGTCCTCTCCTGCTGATGTGCAGGTGTATATCAGTATGTAGTGTCTCTACTTTAAAGAGTCCTCTCCTGCTGATGTTCAGGTGTATATCAATATTTAGTGTCTCTACTTTAAAGAGTCCTCTCCTGCTGATGTTCAGGTGTATATCAATATTTAGTGTCTCTACTTTAAAGAGTCCTCTCCTGCTGATGTTCAGGTGGATATCAATATGTAGTGTCTCTACTTTAAAGAGTCCTCTCCTGCTGATGTTCAGGTGTGTATCAGTATGTAGTGTCTCTACTTTAAAGAGTCCTCTCCTGCTGATGTTCAGGTGTATATCAGTATGTAGTGTCTCTACTTTAAAGAGTCCTCTCCTGCTGATGTTCAGGTGTATATCAGTATGTAGTGTCTCTACTTTAAAGAGTCCTCTGCTGCTGATGTTTAGGTGGATATCAGTATGTAGTGTCTCTACTTTAAAGAGTCCTCTGCTGCTGATGTTTAGGTGGATATCAGTATGTAGTGTCTCTCTTTATTTTTCTCATACTGTCTGTGCTGCAGCACCTCTTTTCACCCTCCGTCTGAAACCAGAGCCCAGTCTGCTCTGATTGGTTAGCTGGCCGGCTCTGTTGTGATTGGTCAACCGCTTAGATCACGTACAATGTTTTGGAGCGTGAGTGTTCCATAGTGATGTCACTATGTTATGGAAGTAGACAAAGGCGTTCCTAAACATACCAAATAGACCTCACTACAGGAGAGGGAACACTACACCAAGCCGAATAGGGCTTCTTTAACAGAAAATAGTGCAATAAAAAAGTGCAAGAGACAAAAAGAATAGTAGAAGCTTTGGTCTCATGGTGCTCTTCAGGCTTTTTGTCTCTAAAGTCTGTCTCCATCTGTCCACCTGCCTTGTCCTCAGCCTGCAGCCTGCAGTGAGGAGTAAAGCAGCTCTTTGCCTCGCTGTGACCTGGTTTCTGAGGACTGAGCTGTGCACACTGTGGAAAAACGCCTGCAGACAATCAACAGCTTTTCATTTCATCTGCTCTCTGACTGTAAACTCATCACTGTTTCAGACGAGAGAGAATGATGTGTGGTTTAAGAGATGAGAGGGCAGCTGCAGTGACCCCGATGAAAACACTCTGAAGGACTGGAGAGCATGGAGAGAGGAGAGATTTAAACGTGTCATCGCAGAGAAATAGGCTGACCTGGAGTATCCTTACCATATATATAGTCTGTGATTCTTAAATATCAGGAGGCATGGATTGGGAATTTCATGGTTTCTTTTTTTACCTTCCCCATCACGTTTATTTCTCAGTTTGCTTCAGTTTGCTCTTTGTCTGTTGGCAGGATTACAGACTTGCCCAATCAACTAACTATATAGAGAACTAAACAACTAACTATATCATTACATTAGCTATATAAATATAAAGAAAATAACTGACAAATGTAAATAGAAAGAACTTGCCAAATACACAAAATAATTCCCTAAATCCTTAACTAACTAAATAACCAAATAAAAAAAATAACAATTAACTAAATAAATAGATATCTTACTTAAAAGATAAACAAATGAATAACTTACTAAATAAATTAGCTAACCAAAATAGGCAAATTACTAAATAAATAACTAAATACGAAACAAGAAATCGAAATAAAAACGTACAAAAAAATAACTAAATAATTCACTAACTAAATAATAATTGACTAAATAAATAGATAAATGTCTAACTTAATAAATAAATAAACTTGCTGACCCACTAACTGAAATACAAAAATAAATACATGAATAAATAAATACATAACTAACATAGCTAAAGGAAACAAATTAATTAATTAAAACAATTATACATTAAATAACACAAATAATAAATAAGTGACAAAATAACAAATATAATTACTTGAATAAATACTTGTGAGAAAGCTCCTGTCTTCCTGTCTCTGCTCCTGAGAGCAGTAACAGAGTTTCCTGCAGCTTACTCTCCGTCTTTGCTCAGCTGTTCGCAGCTAAAGTCTCTCTGCAGGAATAATGTTAGCAGCAGCTGTCATCCTTTCCCAAACGCCAGGGTCAAAGGTCAGCCCATCCCACCCTGACCTGCTGACCTCAGAACTGTTTCCACATAGTTTCCACTGGATCAGCTTTTTATACAGCTTTTATTGCTCTGTTCCGGAGAGGATTCCTCTTTTTCCGTCAACTACCACTTGTTTCCCAGATCTCAGTATCTGTGTTTCATGCATTTTGAATGCTTTACAGTAAACATCCTCTGTTGGAGAATTATTCAGACAATATTCATATTTCAGTTTTAACGATTTCCCGCTCCCGCTCTTTTCCTCCCAGAAGACAAACGCTCCTTAAAGTGACGGTTTGTTTAGTGAAGCGGAGGAGTTTCCCACGGACTCGTCCTCTTGCTCCATCACCTCTGAGTTCACGCACGCACGCACGCGCACGCACATGCACATGCACATCGCTCTGAACAAACAGCAGAGTGTGTGAGAGGGTGTTTCCCGTCACGTGCACGGCGCTCTGCTCATGCACAGTGGACTGTAATCCAATCATAAGTCCATGCAGCAGCTTGATTGTGCATTAATCGTCTGAGTGTTAAATGTCACTTTGTGTGAGAGACACTTCATTTTGTCTCCGGGTGAGTCTCTGCAGAATGTCAGTTTCTCTGCAGGATGAAAAGCTGCTTTGTGTTAAAAACTGACCGCTTTGGGTTCATGCAAAACATATTTAGAGTCAGCTGATTTCCCAGCATCCAGGCAATGGTTTGTTGTAAATAATATCGTGATAATGTCAGGAAAATATGACAAAAATGTCCCCCAAAAATATGGAACATTTTCCAGAAAATATAAAAAATGTCCCCAAAAAATATGAAAAATATCCAAAAAGTCAAAACTATATATAAAACATTTCCTAAAAATATGTGAACCAGTAAAATGGACTTTAATATGATTTAAAACAGAGAAAAGCAACAGATTTAAGAGGCATTTCTGCAGGACTCATTCATCAATTATCAAAATAGTTGGAGATCATTTTGTCTCATGGTGAGTCGTTCAGAATATCAGTTTCTCTGCAGGATGAAAAGCCGCTGTGTGTTTGAACTGACCGCTCTGAGTTCATCCAAAACTCAAACACGGACATATGCATGCTGGTTGTTTGTGGTTTGTTTATATATGCATGAACTGCAGAGGTCAAACTGACTGAGGAATCTGCATCTAAAATAAGTCGAGCTGCCGCCTCCATGTGTGTTTCCTGTCGGTCTCATAGGTCACTTTAAATCTGCATTCACTACATTTGTCCGATTAAAACAAGATGTCCATACTCGAGAAAAGCGTATAAATAACTGCATATCGATTACTTTTTCTTATTTGGTTAATATGTTGGTTTAATTGACCCAAACATAGGATTACATTTTACTAAATTACATAGTTGTAAAATGAGTTAAACTATGTTGTAATATGAGACAAAAAAAATCACACATGTACAATTCTCAACCAAAAAGTATTAAAAAAAAAAAGTCTTTTTGGGATAAAAAAGATTTTGAAATCAGATTTTTTCTTTTTCAGAACAAAATAATCTGAACAAAAAATTTAATGATTTTCCTACAATAATTCAAAGAGAACTTAATTTATTTTTTCCATTTCTGGTCGGATCTCAAATAATGACACATCTGGCCCTCGTCCTCTTCCGTAGTTTCCTGCACAGAGTCAGCTGTTGATTTGTTATCAGATAAAAAATATGTTTTTGGATGCATTTTTGCTAAATGAAAGCAGAAGTCATAGATGTGCTCAAAACATGAAAGTATGGGAGGTTGTGGCTCCGTGATGATTCAAGACACTTCACCCCAAACTGCTCCTGTCGGGATTGCCCACAGAATTGAATGTATGTAAGTCGCCTTGGATAAAAGTGTCTAACAAGTGACATGTAATGCCATATTTATTTGGTTGATTGTTTTGTATTGGAGTACGACACTTCCTGTTGTTGTCTTGCCACATTTCAGACTCGAATAATACATCAGTGAATCCTAAAAGTGGAGTCCTGTCCTCCTGATGATTCCTATGGTTTTGTTTCTTTGTGATACGATACGATATGATAATACTTTATTGGTCAGATCAAGTCTGAAATTTCACATCAACATACACAAATATCAAGACACAGTACATGAAAAACAAACAACAAACATTTAATACCATAACAGCACACTGAGAGAAAACCTGCTCAAAGAGCCTTCAGCGTGCATTTGATCTGGACTCAGCTCTGTATTTACTGTGAGGACTGACTAGAGCACAAAGGATGCTTCAGTCTGACTTTATTGAATCGCGGGACCCTGTATCTCCAATGCAGCGTGTAGTATGGATGGAGTGGGGTGTGTTTGCAGACACATTTATCTGCAGGTATCTCTAACTCTCTCTCTAACTCTCTCTCTAACTCTCTCTCTCTCTCTCTCTCTCTCTCTCTCTGCAGGGTCAGCTGTCTCAGGCTCTCACCGGACTCTCAGACCGAGCCACCGAAGCCAAAGACTTCCTGGTTCAGCTGAGGAACATGGTGCAGCACATCCAGGTACTACACACACACTCATACACACACACACACACACACACACTAACACTCACACACACACACACACGTACAGTACACACATACACACACACACACACACACACACACACACACACACACACTCGCACATCCAGGTACGACACACACACTCACACTCACACGCACACTCACACATCCAGGTACTACACACACACACACACACACACACAGACACACACATATACACACTAACACTCACACACCCAGGTACTACACACACACTCACACACACACACACACACACACACACACACACACACACACACACTCACTCGCACATCCAGGTACGACACACACACACACACACACACACACACACACACACACACACACACTCACTCGCACATCCAGGTACGACACACACACACACACACACACACACACACACACACACACACACACACACACACACTCGCACATCCAGGTACGACACACACACTCACACTCACACGCACACTCACACATCCAGGTACTACACACACACACACACACACACACACACACACACAGACACACACATATACACACTAACACTCACACACCCAGGTACTACACACACACTCACACACACACACACACACACACACACACACACACTCACTCGCACATCCAGGTACGACACACACACACATACACACACTAACACTCACACACCCAGGTACTACACACACACACTCACACACTCACACACACACACACACACACACACACACACACTCGCACATCCAGGTACGCCACACACACACACACACTCACACACACACTATAGACACAAACATACACACACACATACACACACACACACACACACACACACACACATACAGTACAGACACACACACACATACAGTACAGACATACACACACACACACACACACACACACACACACACATACACACACACTTTATCAAATCAAACTGTTGCATCACCATGGTAACAGCAGAGTGTGTGTGCATTGGTTTTACATTACAATAACATGTGCAGCGCTTAGTGAGAGCACATCGACCAGGAATAGATTTACAACCTGCTGCTGCGTGGGGGATTACAGACGATTAGAGGGGGGGGGGGGGGGGGGGACTGCTGCGTGCAATAGAGAACTACAGGTATTCCTTAGTGGTCCCTGAAGGCAGCATCTCATTGGTTCAATGGGATTTCTTTCTCAGAATTATTTTGTTTAATGTTTTTCAGAATTGTCTTTTCTTACTCACGATCAACATGTTATTTTAGATTTAGATTCCACTTCCTCATGGTTAAGTGCTATATTTTTTACGCCTGTTTAGCATTTTGCGGTCCATCCTATCATGTCACAAAATGCCAAAAATGGGTGAACTCCATTTACTTAATACATCCATTTGTTCAGGACCCCATTGTCCTTCACAAACAAGATATAACGTGTAAGTTACTGAGATTTGGGGTTTCTTTCGGAGACTTTTACGTTTTGTCCTACGGCACAAAATACGAGAATTTAGAGAATGGATTTTTCTTGATTTCCATTTTTTTCAGAAAATAATAAAAAATTAAAAAAATGTTCTGATTCTGATATATGTTCTATATAAGTTCTGTATATACTGCAGTTAAATTCTTATTAAATGCAGCGTTTACCAACAGCTAACAGCGTAAAGCCTAAAGTTGGCTTTTATAATAATAATAATAATAATAATAATCAATTTGATTTATAAGCGCACTTTTCATTTGAGTAAGCAAAACTCAAAGTGCTACAGAGTAAACCAAACATGTACAACTAAAATATATATATATATTTAATAAAGTAAACAACAGAATAAAAATAGTACCAGTTTACATTTGAGTGGAATTAATTAAATATGATACAAGCTATTATAAGCTGACTACTTTTATTTTGTGAACAGGCAGCGTTGAAACATTTTTGTACATCCTTTTCTTGATGTCACTATGAATTGAGGAATTCAGTAAAAGGTCCATCATGAATTCATGTTTGTTTTTTTCCTCTTAGCTTTACATTATCGCAAGAGTTGATATTCAAATATAAAAAATCTTAGTCACCTTTTACTCTGCTTTCAGGCCATCAGCAAACACACCACCTTTATTAGAAATGATCTCCTCTTTGTACTGATCCAGAAATACTTACTAATACAATCTTGAAATACTGAAAACTTTATTTAAATCTGTATTTAAATTGGATTTCCTCGTGGATTCCTGATAACTCATTAGTAGCGCCACGGGTTTGTGTGGTATTCTGTATAATTATAAAAGTAGTTGCTATAGTTTATTATTTGTATAGATGTGTTATTCCTCTCAGCCTGTTCCTGTTGTGTTGCAGGAGAACGGAGTGGAGTTCGAGGCGTGTCTCGTGGCTCAGTGCGACGCTCTCATCGAGGCGCTGAACCGACGCAAAGCCCAGCTGCTGTCCCGGGTCACCAAGGAGCACGAGCACAAGCTCAACGTGAGTTTCAAATTATAAAAATACATCTCACCTCCCAAATCAGCTGGACAACTGTCTCTGTTGTCGGAAACTTACCTAAAATGTTTTACCGGCTTATTTCAACAATGTGATCACATGACTCCTTCTGATGTTACTGCGGATCTGCTGTAAGCTAGCTAGCTAACGTAGCTAACCTAGTCATTTCCGATATCCTGATAAACACTTCCAGTTATGAGACGACTAACTGCAACAGAGACAGTTGTTCAGCTTTATAATCCTGAACGTCACCAAGCGCTCCAGCTGTGTGTTTTTATATCTGCATCGTTTTCTGAAGCTGCGGAGCGTTTCTCCTCATGGAAATGTTTTGGGTCGTTGTAGAGCGTTCGCACCTGTCGGCCACCGTAGGTCTCTGGTTGAAAATTCCCTGTATTCACGAAAGAGGCTTTTTGATTGAAGATGATTTTGATGCAAATATTAAAACAATTACAGGAGAAAAACATGTTTTGTAAATTATTTCAAACAAGAAATCTGGAAATGTCTCACTTAAAGGTCACCTATCATGCTATTTTTAGGCAATAGCATAGGTCTCAGATATATAAAAATATATAAAAAACATGTCTATAAAGTGTTTTGCTCAAAATACCAAACAGATCACCCATTCTAGCCATGCCTCATACTGTATCTCTCTATTTCACTTCCTGTTTAAAAAGTTCTGATTTGGGGTATAAAGCTTTAAAAAAAAAAGAATTGATAAAAATAAAAAAGGAGGGGTCTGAGCTCATGGGGGACCCAGCAGCTACTGTCTAAACTAAATACTGCGGTGATGAAACGCCATATCATGGATTATCAAGGATTCTTTCTGAAACAGTATGGAGCTCAAAGGCTTTCTCTCTTGCCGGTTATACCACAAGGTGAGTTCCTTTTTATTTCCTGCTTCTTCACACACATGCTCTCCAGTACAGGTTAGCTCTGAGTGTTAGCGATGCTAATGTAAACACCGACCATATTACGTCCAAAACAGTCGGGCATTGTTTCTGATAGCAACGTTTCTGATAGGGCCGTGGGTCCACATTTCAGATATTACGTCATATCGGACGCAAATCTGGATCAGCTCCGTTGTTCCCCCGTTTTTAGAGATTTGGGTACGGAGGAAAAGAGAGGGTTTTGTTTTCTGACGCTGCGTGAGTTCCCTGACACACCGGGGACACATGTTTATGTAGAAAAGACATCAAAAAGTGCATTTTGCGTGATAGGTCCCCTTTAAAACTCCAAATGAGATTTCCCTACTCTTAAATTCAAATTTGAATGACATTAGAGTTTAAATCAGAATCAGAATCAGAAACGTTATTTGTCCCACAGCAGGGAAATGTACAATCTCACAGCAAAGGGACAGCGACAAAAGGGCAAAAAAGGGCTCGACTGCACTGATTTGAGGCATACAGAGCAACATTTGTCTTTCTACGTCTGCAACACGTTGAACAGCAACATAACTGAGGAGGAGGAGGAGGAAGAAGAGGAGGAGATAGATTTGCGCTGAACAGCATCCAATTTCACACTCGGCCGCTCTGCAGAATCACACATGTAGGAGGAGAAACACACTGTGCATCGCTCAAACACTCATTACACATTTCTCCCCTATGTATGAAATATTTAAATGTGAAGCATTTTATGGCAGGGCTTCATCAATCACTCACAAATTCATTATAATGTCAGTCACGTTCAATTCCCTACAAGCAGGAACGTTCTGTTTTCTTTTTGTGTTTTCTGAGGTTTACATTAAAACAACGATGCAATATTTGGGTAAATGAACTTATTTGCCAAGAGTCGGGTGAGAAAACTGATAGCGTTCATCCTCCTTCCCTTCTGCAATCTTGTCATCTTGTCAAGCTTTAATTCTGTTTGTTTTTGAAAAGTGGGATTGTATAGAAGTCTATGAGAAAACGTTCCTGCTTCTCTCTTGATTACCTCAGATTGTATAGAAGTCTATGAGAAAACGCTCCTGCTTCTCTCTTGATTACCTCAGATTGTATAGAAGTCTATGAGAAAACGCTCCTGCTTCTCTCTTGATTACCTCAGATTGTATAGAAGTCTATGAGAAAACGTTCCTGCTTCTCTCTTGATTTATTACCTCAGATTGTATAGAGGTCTATGAGAAAATTAGCCAACTTTCCTCTTGGTTTATTACCTCAGTTCAATCAGGAGAGACGATTTTGATGTAAGAATACATATTTATTGCCAGGAATACACAAATGAATGTAATGGAGTTTTGGCGATTAGGCCCCGTTGTGCAGGAGTATCATTCGGGAGGGTAGAACCGATCCGATGAAACCCCCCTGGGTCTTGACCCTGCTGGTGGTGAATGGATAGTTGGGTTCGGTCTGAAGGGGAGTGTCTTAGCTTGACCCTGGTGGTGGTGAATGGATGGTTGGGTTTGGTCTGAAGGGGAGTGGCTTAGCTTGATCCTGGTGGTGGTGAATGGATGGTTGGGGTCGGTCTGAAGGGGAGGGGCTTAGCTTGATCCTGGTGGTGGTGAATGGATGGTTGGGTTCGGTCTGAAGGGGAGTGGCTTAGCTTGACCCTGGTGGTGGTGAATGGATGGTTGGGGTCGGTCTGAAGGGGAGTGGCTTAGCTTGATCCTGGTGGTGGTGAATGGATGGTTGGGGTCGGTCTGAAGGGGAGGGGCTTAGCTTGACCCTGGTGGTGGTGAATGGATAGTTGGGGTCGGTCTGAAGGGGAGGGGCTTAGCTTGACCCTGGATTCAGAGGGACAGGAGGTGCAAAGGGGTGGAGGAGGGTTGCGTCGAGTCACCTGAAATGACAGCTGTCAGAGAGGGGAGAGCAGACTTAAAAGGTTTGGCAGAGCGCTATGATAGGCTCTTGGGAATAGAGCGAAGCGATTGGTTAAGCTGGAGAGTGACGCCCCCGATCACTTATTGAGAGAAGAGAGAGTAGTTACGTGGGAGTAGTACATGAAGAGTAAGGACGGTCTTCCTGGTTGAACTTACGCTGAGCTTCATTAAACATTTTCCAGATCAGTTTTTTCAAATGATGGTACCAGTTAAAGTAAAACATAGTCAATAAAGCAGCAGCGCTACCACAATGTTTATTATACAAATGTAACCCTTTCACTATGTCGTCAATCTTTTTCTGGCATTCGATCATCAGTCAAACCATTTTAGCACTACGGGGTCTCACATTTAAATGCATGTTGTGCCAAAGAAAGAGTTGAATTTAAAGTTACTTGCATATGTTTTCATTTACTGTTCTCCTTTGTCAGTTTGTGTTCAATGGACAACAAAAATGAGACCACCATCCCTTCCTCTGAAAGAAAACCACACTCGACACAAACAGCCGCTCTGAGCAGTGTGTGTTGTTCCCAGCGTTTATCATGCTCCATCAACAACACTCGTACATTGTGAAGGTTATAAATATAAAAGCTCTCCCTCCCACACTCGACACTCATCGCCTGCAGAGACACAAATGTCACCATTACAGCAGAAATCACCGTTTCCTGTTGCCTGTAGGTGGAAAACACTGCGGCTTGTTTACAGCTGCAGATACTGACGTTGCTTTATCAGTTTGGAGACGATTTGTACACGCATAAGATCTGTTCCCTTAATGATTGATTGGCTGTGAGGCGACTGATGGATGATTAACACGGGGAATCGGACATGTTCACACCTCCAAGACGGATGAATTTGAATGCATCTCGGTGGAGATCTGATGCCTGCTGACAGCCAGCAGACCAGAGACGCTGCTCTCTGAATCTCAATGCAACAAGAAGCTGATTTTATTTTTTACTGCGATGCTCACTCAGGGACACTGCCTCCATTATGTGTCCATCAGTGTGCAGGAAACCCTCAGCTTCACATGTTCTGTGAAGGCAGCCCTTTGTCATGAAAAGGATCTAAAAACCTTTGTTTTCGTTACCTGCTTATCATCAGCTGGACAACAGACAGAGTTAGCTGGTGAAAGTTAGTTTGAAGAGCGGCTGGAAGACATTTGTAGCTGCAATTTGGTGCTTTTACAGGCCTCACACGTCCAAGTCACCATGGCTACAGAGTGCTTGAGGAGAGGCGATGTTTGCATGTTTGTATGCAGCAGTTTTACGTCCTTATTTATGGTTTTTAATCATTAAAAAATGACTGAATCAGCAGGATTAATCAGGGCACCTCATTAGCTTCTTAATTGGTCATGTATAAAATGCATAGCTGGCATTTTGTTCCGTGCAACAATCTGCTTTCCATGTGTAAAGAAATGCTAAATATGGATTAATGTGCATCAGGAGGGCACAATTGGACGAGGAAACACAGGATTCAATTTGTCTTTACATTACAATTGTCTAAATAAACGTAAGCACATTTTTGCCCATGTGTGCCGAGTGCAAAAATCACTTTGGTTACTAAATATCCATTTTAGCATTCAGCAAAGAGTGGTGTAGGAATTACTTTTTGTTTTGTAGGTTGACCCTGAAGGCAGCATCTCCCTGGTTCTCTCCAACAAAAGCCAAACGGCCAATTGGTCAAAGTAAATGAGCATTGCTTTCCCCATGATATTCAGACATTTTATAGAATTAAATTCGGAGTTAGAAAATAACTGCAGTGAGAATATGACAAATGAATGTGAAAAAGTGGAAGCACTGTGCAGTTTTAAAAGAGGTAGCATTTAATAGAAATTGTGCAAAAATATACAGAGTTCAATCACGACTCCACTGTTTGCAAACATTTGTCAGATTGAATAGAAAGAAACTGTTCCTAATTCCCTCTTGATTTATTACCTCACATTTCCCTGATGAGTTTAAGGTCTCAATCTGCAGTGTCAAGTCTTCTTCAACACAGCATGATGTTCATTTATCAAATGATGTTCCCATTTAGAGTAAAATAGAGGATGAAGTAGGGCTGTGCAATTAATCGCAATTACGATTTTGGCCTGCCACAATTACGAAAACAACATAATCGAAAAAAACGATTATTTTGCTTTGCTAGGTTGTGACTGCACTGCAACATATTTGATCTAATTTAT